AAGGAAGGAAGGAAGGAAGGAAGGAAGGAAGGAAGGAAGGAAGGAAGGAAGGAAGGAAGGAAGGAAGGAAGGAAAGGAAGGAAGGAAGGAAAGGAAGGAAGGAAGTAAAGGAAGGAAGGGGTGTGAAGCTGCCAGAGTGTTTTGATTCAGGATGAGAACCCACTGCCACTCCAGTCACAGGTTAGCAGCTGCACTGATTTGTGAAGCAAGGGACATCTGGTTCGTGCCATTTCTCCAGGTCTTACAGAGCACAGCTGCTCCTTCCCGGCTGTGTATATCACATCCCAGCAGCAGAGGCCTTTACCGGTGGGATATCCCTTCCCTGTTCCCTTCCAGCAGAACGCAGACGTGTGCTAATCAGCAGTGTCACACTGCTTTGCACAAGCACTGCCAGAGCTGCTGAGGAGGACTGAGGCCTTGCAGCCGAGGCTAAAAGCCGAGCGAGCCGGGTTTGGGTGTTGTCTCAGGGGTGCAGCTGGGGCGGAGCGGATGCTGCTCCCACGGTTCTCCCACAGCTCCCCACAACTCCCACAGCTCTCCCGCAGCTCCCGCAGCGCTCCCACAGCTCCCTCAGCTCTCCCTCAGCTCTCCCACGGCTCCCTCAGCTCCCCCACAGCTCCTAGAGCTCCCACAGCTCCCTCAGCTCTCCCACAGCTCCCAGAGCTCCCTCAGCTCTCCCACAGCTCCCTCAGCTCTCCCACAGCTCCCACAGCTCCCTCAGCTCTCCCACAGCTCCCGCAGCGCTCCCACAGCTCCCTCAGCTCTCCCTCAGCTCTCCCACGGCTCTCCCACGGCTCCCTCAGCTCTCCCACAGCTCCCTCAGCTCTCCCACAGCTCCCTCTCAGCTCTCCCACAGCTCCCGCTCCCGCAGCGCCGCTTCCCCGTGGGCTCTGCCCGGCCCATTCTGCAGCGTCAGGATTTCAGGGTGAAACCATTATCAGACCGTCCTGGCTGACTCACACTAAAAGAGAAAAGAAGTCGTTCCGGGGAAGCCGAGACTCTGCAGGGAACCTCTGCTCCGGGACCCTTCATTGCCCTCTAGTGACCAGCCGGGAGCAGGTGACAGAGCCCAGTGATGCTCCTCCGGCCGCAGGGCAGCGAGGAACAGAAAAGTAAAAATCATTAAAAAAACATGCACAGTTAACCCTCTGGGCTTCTTCAGTGTTCATCCCCGATGATATTTTGTAATACGATTCTTTATTAGTGTCATTAATTTATTAGCTCTTTAGGAGGGATACTTTTTTTTTTTGCTTGGATGATAGCCTGTCTTGTTATGTCTCAATATTTACAGTATTGCTGAAATAATGTATATAATGGAATAGTAATGACTTCACTGTTAAGAATTCCATTTTGTTGGCTGATACGGGTGAGTTGCTGAGATCAACTGTGATTGAAATTCCCATTGTCCTCTTACCCCCCTTAGCAATGCTTCACAAATACAGTTTTCCCAGCACACTGATAAGAGCCCAGGTGGAAGCAAGTGATAATCACAGGAGTCAAAAAATGTTGTTGCTGGTACAATGTTATCTGAATTTCTGAAATATTACCACCTTTACCCCTGGTTTAGGTGGTAATTTTACGCCACTATTCCTACCCCAGCCCCTGGGCTGATTTCTGTGTCTTACAAATCACAGGCCCAGTTTAAGACAAACTTTTTTTTATTGCTTATTTGCAGGTTTTATGTTGTATGATGAAGGAATAGGCTCTTGTTCCCTGGATTTTCCTGTGTCATCTGTAGCTACTGCTTTTAAGTGATGTGTATGTGGACAGCCTTGCTCCCTTGGTAGACAGCTGTGCCACATGTTCTGTCAGACAGGAGCTCAGTCCCTGGTTGTGCTTCTTGGCCATGAATCTCTCAAGATAAGATACTCCTAACTCTGTGTTGTTGCTCAGGAGTGGTGACCTGCTATATCCTGCTGCTGAATGATACTGATGACCTGCTAAATGAGGCAAACTTTTGGCAAGAGTAAGGCATGCAGCACCAGCTGTTTCTGTCCCACCAGTATATGTGCCACCCAAAAGCTGCTCATGTCTTTTGTCCTAGAAGAGGGGAATGTGCCTGCATTAAGAGGCTCTTTCAATAGAAAATTAACCCACAAATATAGGAAGGGCTCGGTCCTCACATTTTTATTGCAGATTACAGGGCAGGAAAAAAACTTAAAAGAAGATATTCCATGCTTTATTCTGCTAAGAATAATTCCTTGTCTGTAACACCTTGAATTCCTTCTTAAAATGCTGATCACAGTCAGAGGTTCACACCTTACATCAAAAATCTTTTTGTTGCCTTTCTTGGTCTTCAGAATATTTACTTTTACATTATCATTAAGCCAACTCGCATGAAAAAATTTTCAGTTCCTGATGAGTCATAATCAGTACAATTCTTCCCACCCTGACTGTGGCCACAGGAGTCATAACCACAAACCCTGCAGTTATTTCTGGTGTCCACTTCTTAGAACACAGTGTCCCTACACCCTTGTCTGGGTGTTTGACTGGTGAGAAGTAATCATCCGAGTACAGAGTTCCTTACAGGTCATTCTGTGTGCCTTTGTGGATATACTGAAATGCCACAGTGCCCCAGTTCAAAGGGTCATGGGCACACAGCCCTGTGTTAGCCAATATTTACTTCTACAGCAATCATTTGCCAATGCTGTAAAATCCTGGGATCATCTCAGCAGCTGCTAATGGGATTCTGCATGTTGGATTTGGATTCTGCCTGTTGGATTTGCAACAAGCCCACATGCTCTGCCTGTCCCAGTCACACGTCACAGCAAGTTTCACCTCATCTCTGATGATGCACAGCTCTTCCCAGGCCTACCTGAGGAATGCTTTTCCTTTCACTAATCTTTCCCATACTGACAGTGATGTAAGTGCACAGAGCCTGGAGTTTCTGTAGTTCTCAGGTGACAGGATACATGAACGTACTTGAGCTCTAGACTATGAAAATTATGGACTGGATATTTTTCACTGCATCAAAAAATAACACAGGTGCTGATAGACTGCATCGACCTGATTAATTGCATGGTGGATTTAAAAAATGGGCTGGTACAGAATTCCTGTCTGTCTGTGAAGAAGCTGTAGACCTCTGGATCATGCATTCAGAATTAGATTCATCTGACAGCAATTTATCTCATAGCTGTCTTGTTGCCTCAAAATTAATTTTGTTCTTCTAATAAAGATGAAAAAAACAAATTACAAAAGGGAAAATATTTTTAATGGTCTTAGAGGAGACAGCAATACTAAATTTTATATAGAACAAAAGAGAACAGAAATTCCACATTATCATGTGAGTGTAATGGGGTTTAGAGCAGCACAAATCTTTTCCCCTGCATGTAGTAACCAAAATTCTCCCTGTTCATAGAACAGAATGTTCAGCAATGTTGCTTCAAACCCTGTAGTGCAATAAGTGTAGGGGGTAGGATGTGCTGTTTGCAGGCAAAATCAGAAATGCATCTCCTACATTTACCATCTCTCAATAGAGTGAGAAACTCTGTAAAGTCCCTTGTCCATTTCCTTCTGCTTTGTCACTGTGAGTAAACTTCCCAATTCTTGATGTTCATACTTCTGTATAAATACAAAAATATATATAATGGCAGTGATATTTGCTGTCAAATATTTTCATTGTAGGCATCAGAAAGCTCCCTAGTCATCAGCAGATTAAAGGCTGCAAGTGTGAAACAGGTGTGGCTTGGTTTACATATGTCTTTTGCATTTTGTTAAACAGACGAGTGACAGAGCCAGAAGGGAAATTTAGAAGTCAAGACTCATTCTTAACCTTCTTTCAAAGTAATCCAATTTACATAATATATAAACATAAAGTAATTCAGCAGCTTGACCCCAGAGGTAGGATCTCTGATCTCTTAATTATAACATAGAACATTTTGCATATGTCAGTTAAAGTTTCCAGATCTCATATTCCTGGTTTTTCAAGTAGAGAAAATAGTAATTACCCTCCTTGTAGGGTTCTAAGTCCCTTTTAAGGATTTTTAAGCACTATAAAAAGAAAAAATACCCTGTGATGGCATTCCTGGTAGCTATGTGATTCGACTGTCTGCAGCCTGAAGGGCTTGACTGGTTACCAGGGGCTGTAATAATGAGGGTTTCAGCCACATCTTGATGAGCTGTTATTACTCAGGACATATCTTTAGCCTGTTGCTGTGTTATGAGAACTGCTGCCTTCACCACCAAGAGTTGTGCAACTTCCTTCTGGCTTCTAAAGTTGCTGTTTCCAAGGAATTCCTTTCTTCTGGTAACTGGTAATGGTTTCTCAGGCAACAAGTCCAGATGCTGGAGACTGTTTCACCTCATCCTCTTTTATTTTAATGTTAATGACACAACAGAAACAGTCAGACCACATCTTCTTTTTTTCCTTCCAGAACTTTTGTATATAAAAATCTTCTTTCAATTTGAAGTGTGGGTGCTTGTTGGAATCAACGGAAAACCAAGAGGTGTCATTCATTGTTCAGTTCTTCCTAAAGAAAAGATGGAAGAAATATCTGTGGGCTGGAGGAAGAAGAGGGGAGCTAAGTCCAGCCCTGCTCTGGCCAGGATAAGAGAGCAAATAAGGCAGTAACTGGGGTGTGTAGGAAAGATATCACATCAAATTTTTGGAAACAGTTTTACTCCTTAGATCAAAAAATCTCAAAGACTGATGTTCTCAGAAAAAGGGAGAAAAATTTCACTCATGTTTGTGTGTTCCTCTTAGCTCACCCCACTCAGACACTCAAATACAGTAATTTGTATTTGATCCTGCTCGCAGTAAACCTTGTGGTAGACACCTTTTCAAAAGGAAAGAAGGAGTAGCACTTGCATTCCTTAAAATAAGTAATGGTAAATAAATACTGTAGGCAAAGGTGGCTTGAGAATATGGGGCCCAGTTGGGTAAGGCAAGGCTTGATCTCCTCTTGCAGTGTCTTAGAGAGGAAAATTGATTTTTCATGTTGTACACCGAAAGGCTTTATCCTGAGTGTGGGCATGCCCAGCTGATGGGCTGAGAGTGTTCAATGTAATTATCTAATCTAACAATCTAATTATCAGTCACCAGCTTACAGCTGTCAATCAATCATCAATTTGCTATTTATTGTTTCAGCAAGCAACACTAATTTTTTAATTAGCTAAGCTGATAAGTGGTGTTTCCCTGAATGGGGTGTTCCAACCCTTTTGAGGCCTTGAGAAGTACAAAGTGCAGGAAAGCACAGGGGGAACAGTGCTCTCGTACCCTGTGGTTTCCCCCACCTCCAGCCTGGTGGAGCGGGAGGAATGAAATGGTATCCCAAAGTGGATGTGCAGGATGGAGAGGGGCAGGGACCAGGTGGGAAGGGCTGGGAAACAACCGACTGAGAAGAGCACAAGCAGGGGGGAAGTATTATCCGGGAAGGAATAGAAAAGGGGGGAGCTGTGTATGGCTACATGGACACAGGAGAGAAGGAAGAGCCCTGATGGAGCCCCGGGCTGCCCCCCTCGCACAGCCGAGGCTGCTCCGAGCGCGGTCTGCAGGTGGTGCAATTGCCTCGGGAAACGCCGTGCGGCTCTGCCGAGCCATCTCTCATCGCGGGTTAATCACAGGCACGGAAACTTCCCCCCGCTAAGCGCTGGTTTGATGGCAGAACAGGTAAGAGGGTTACCCTAATCTTGGTTTCCTCCTAACTACTTCCTAACCCTTTGACAAGCGTAGTAAGTCCCCAGGTCGTAGCACCGAGAGCTAAGCCATCGTTCCTGGAGACGGTGATGTAATTGCTGGTGTTCTCCTTTATCTCATCCATATTTTAATTGGCAATTTCAGACCCTGCAGTCAGACTTAATAATCTGTACAGACGTCTCCTCTTGTAGATAATGATCAAGTCAATTCAGCCTGAGGGAAGCAAGCAGAATGTGCACACAGATTCATGCAATGTGTTACACAGGCAGCAGAAAGAGACAAAAATAGCTAAAGAAATAAAAAATTCATATTACAGAGTGTTCTTTCCAAATCCTTTAGTCCTTTTTTTTTTTTTTTTTAATGTGCTACTATGAAATTAAGTGAGTAGATACAATTATTTCATTGCTTTGGCATTTTATTGTTCTTTCTGTGGAATTCTAGGGCCTTTTGGACCTGCGATTATGTTCCACCACATATAGCTCCATGACCAAAATGTCAACACCTATAGGCTTGCAGTAAAGCTACATTATGAGCAGTCTATGTTGTTAGCAACTGTGGCAGGGATGTCTTTCAGTGGGTGAGCTGTTGTCTGGATATCTCATGAGGCATTGTTAAGCATCCCGGAGTAAGAGTCTCCTCCCTGGCACTTTGAAGTCCATGGGACTTTTGATGTTGACTTCATTAGCAGTGGGATAAAGCCTTTATGTTGCCTATGTATGGTATAAAGCTGACCTTTTACTGAATCACTGTTGCTATGTGAGCTCATCATCTATTTGATGCATCATCTCCTTGCTCTCTTTAAGACAATTGAAGTAAATGTCACCTGAGGTGCAAGCTGAAGAAATTCCTGAGACAGAAAAACAACAGATTTATGGAGCACACTTCACTATCTTTTAAATTCTCCTTTCCCCTTTGTACCAATCTTTTCCTAAAAGCATTGCCCTTTGTGAAAATGCATTCCCCAATGGTTGTAAAAACATTAAAATCCGTGCCAGAAAAGAAGTGCAAGTGTTTACTGAAATGAAAATGCATGTTTATAAATCTTGTCAAATTTTGTAGGAAAATGCCATGCGAAGCTCAACAAGGTGAAACAATTCTTCCAACCCCAGGAGTTGCTTGATCCTGTAGAGCAAGGTACTGAGTCATGTCACAGGGAACATTGAGGCATAGTAATAACCTCTTTTACATAATGAGATCATAGAATCCTACAATGGCTTGAGTTGGAAGGGATTTTAAGGGTCATTTAGTTCCAAACCCCTGCCATGGGCAGAGATAATTTCCCCAACACCAGGCTGCTCAAAGTCCCATCCAACCTGACCTTGAACACTTCCAGGGAAGGATCAGCCACAACTTCCCTGAGTAACATGTACCAGTGCCTCACCATCCTCACAGTGAAGAATTTCTTCCCTAAATTTATATTTAATCTCAATCTACCCTGTTTCAATGGACAGCCATTCCCCCTTGTCTTATTACTATGCCCTTTTGATGTCCTTGTAAGTCCCTCTTATAGGTCCCTTTAGGTACTGGAAGGTGATGCAAGGTTTCCCCAGAGCCCTGTCCAGGCTGAACAACCCCAACCCTCTCAGCCCATCTCCATAGGAGAGATGCTCCAGCCCTCAGAGCATCTTCATAGCCCTCCTCTGGATGTGCTCCAGCACACAGAGCTCCATGGCCAAAACACCAGTTGTAGGCTCCATGTTTTTCTTATTTTGGGGCCCCAGAGCTGAACACATTCCTTCAGGTGGGGTGTCATGAGATCAGAGTATAGGGCACTCATTTATTGGACTTTGTAAGCAGAAGAGATTATGGAATTGTTCTGAGATATAGTCATTAATAAAATAGACTTCACTTATAATTTAACTTCGGTAATTGCTTTGGTAATGTTGTAAATGTGTATGATTAGTTCTTTATTACTCATATGAGAAACATAACTAATGTGCAGCAATCTTCTCTAGTGCTTAATTTAAAATCAGGATAGAGAAATAGCATAGAAGGAAGTTTCTTTGATATTCACATGGCACTGACTTCCTAGAATTGAGTGATCTATAAAACGTGAATTTTCTCACCTGTACTGATATCCTGATGTGACTGGAAAATTGTGATTCTATTCTTCTCTGATTCCCTGGGAAATAATGTTTTACTTTATTGAATAAGTAGATTCAAAATCTCAAATATAGCTGGAAAATAAAACGTGATCTTTGGGCACACTTTCATTTGTCCTTAATATTCTAGCTTTGGCCTTATTTGCCTCCATATCTATATAAAGATAGATACTGTATATCACTCACCTTTCCTAGTGCAACTGCTCAGAGGTGCACTCCAGCCTTTTGCAGTCAGTGGTCAATATATGTTTATAATTGTTCATTCTTGAAATCCTTTCATCCATCACACATGCATTCACTAACTAGTGAGACAATCAGCTCAGGCAAGCATTTTTGTTTCCTTCAAAGGGGTGTTATATAAGCCAAGATTATCAGAAGTTACTTCAGATTTGGGGGTGAATAGCTGAGTCTGTTGGCATCCAATATAAGCCACAGAGCTGATTTTCAAAAGCAGGTGAGATAGGTCTCTTTGAAAGAATCTCAGACTAGACATCTAAAGAATGAGTTGCTGAAGCTGTTTCTGGAAGTCCTGACCAGTGTGCTCGCTCTGAAGTCAAACAAGTTCAAGGCAGGGAAAAATTAGTAACTGACTCTTGCTTTCAAGTGACCTGTGATGCTTCCTTTGCCTATTCATTAGATTTCTGAGTGGCTTTTGTCTGGTCTACCCTTTCTCCATCTTGTAATTACTTACCAAGATTCATCATCATCTTGCTGCTGGTTTGTCATTAACATTCCTCTCCTGTGCTGCCTCCCCCCAGAAGCAGACCAGTCCCCATGCTGGCCTGCTGATGCTGTCACACCAATTACCTGTTTATTTTCTCATATTTCTCTTTTTTTTTTATCCTTCTGTGT